CCAACATGGGCCAGTGAAGCAACGTCCTCCACAACTAGACTGAAGAACAAAAGGACAGCAACTTGTCTGTTCCCCTTCCCCAATTCCCCAGTAAAATCTTAAAAAAAAAAAGAAGCACGTCAGAAATTGCATCCAATTCTGGAATCCCCATGGAAGAGTATTTTACAGGAAGAACATGTAAGAACTGCTGCTATGGAGAACAGAAGACAATGAATAACAGTAGTTGTAACAGTAACAATAAATAATAGCTAGCAGTTATTGAACACATACTATTTTCCAGGCACATGATTCCATGTATTTTATAAACATTAATTTATTTAACCTCACCTGGATCATTGCAAGAGCTTCATAATCAAGTCTCACTGAATGCACACTTGCCCCTGGAAAATCTATTCTAAACATGACAGCCAAAGTGATCCTCCTACAATACTGCCAAAGTGATCCCCCCTGCTCAAAACACGGCTCCCAGCTCCCCCAGAGGACAAGCCCAAGGCCTTCCTTACAAAGGCTAGGCCTCGCCGGGACCTCAATGCCTGTCTGACTTTGTCAGTTAGCCGCGTCCTGTCGCACCCTCCAATCCTACCCACTGGCCTCCTTGCTGTCCCTTGATCCTGCCAAGCACACTCCACCTCACGGTCTTACTCCTCGCTGTTCCCCCTCGTAATCCCTTTCCCCAGACACACCTGCAGCGCTTACCTGCCCATTTCTTCAGTTTCCTTCCCTGGCCACTTCAGCAGCAGATGCACAGAGTGTAGGATTAGTGTGAGCCAGAACCCTCCACATTTCAATCTTTCACTAAAACTACTCAGTAAAATGTTTTTGTCTTAAAACTTTTAAATGATATATTATGACGTTTTTATGAGGAATATATATACATACCTGTAGCTGTTGAAGATCGTCTTCCTGAATGTTCTGGGACAAATTATAAATCTAGAAAACAAAAGTCCAGATTGATAACAATTCTAGCTTACTTCATAGCTCAAATAAGCCTAAAATATTGAACAGAAGCTTTGTACATTTAAAGGTCTGCATATAAGAATACGAAGTCTGTTCAAACAGTAATATTATCTGCCTTTTGGGACATTATGCATGCATGGTTGAAATAACATAATTCTTCCTTTATAGTATAAAATATAGTTTTCTTAAGCTCTTACCAAATCTACATTTCCTATTGGGTTGTCGAAAAAGTCAAGACGTATTTTTTCTATGTTTTTCGTTGCAAAAATGTGTCATGACTTTCCCGACAACCCAATATATGATATAACTGATATAATTTCAATTTCCACTTTCAGACTTTTCTTGGAGTATTTTATATACATTTATGACCAAAATGGAAAACTATTTTAAGGTCCTTCTTGAGCTTGTAACAGGTTAACTTATATCTGTAGTTGTAAAAGAACATTTACATGTCACCATAGGAATTCTGATGACAGGACAATAACTAAAACTAGATATACTCCTTTTACCTTATTTCATCTGCAAACTTTATTTCTTAGTCAAGTGGTTTTACCTGAACAGAACTGGTCATGGTGCTTAGAGCAAAAATGGTAGCACAATCTTTCACAGTGGACTGGCTGTCAAATGCCCCCTGGGTATCCATCAGAACAACTGCAACCTAAAAACAAAAAAAAAAGGAAAATACAAACAAAATATGTTAAAGCGAGCAGAGGGGAAAAGCAAAGGAGAAACTGAAAAGTAACATTTAAATGAGGCTTAAGCACCTGCTTCTAGGTTCTATCAGAAAAGTATATAATTCTTTAGGTGCCTTGTTTTGACCAGAGAACTTGGTTGGAGAAGATTATCTGCTCTGACCTAATGAGATGATATAAAACAGAGGCTTACAGAGCAATACGGAAGGAGAGGAAAATCACCCCACCAACTAAAACAGCCAAATGTTGATGCCAATGAGCTCACTCATCAAGCCAGTCATTCAGGTATGTTTTGTTGTTGAAAAAGAAATTAAAAATACTAACAATTTAGTTTAAATTTAGGTATCATCCAATAAAATAAACACATGGGGGGCCAGCCGAGTGGCACATTGGTTAAGAGCTGGCTTGGGACGCCAGCTCTGAGCAGCAGATCCCGGTTCAGATCCCACATGAGAGCCAGTGACGCTGCGCCCTCTACAGCTAAGATGGTGAACAACAGCTCGACCTGGAGCTGGGATGCTGTGAGTCGCCGGCGACGGCATAGGCTGCAGTGGGGCTGGCCGGCAGCTGGCGTGCGCTTTCGTGAGCTGCCACGAGCTGCCGTGAGCCACCGTGAGTGGCCGTCCAATGGCCAGCAAGCAACTGCCTCACTTGGGAAAAGCACAATGATAATACCAACATGGGCCAGTGAAGCGACATTCTCCACAACTAGAGTGAAGAACAAAAGGACAGCAACTTGTCTGTTCCCCTTCCCCAATTCCCCAACGCTATTCCCCTTCCCCAATTCCCCAACGCTGTTCCCCTCCCCTAATGCCCCAATAAAATCTTTAAAAAAAAAAAAAATACACATAGGTTAGGATATTTTTGGTATATACCTGCAAGGCTGTATTCTTCTTTCAAATTTCTAGGGTTTTCTGATTGTTTGATAAAAGAAAATTAACATTTATTTCAATCTTTACACAAGACAGACCACACCAAAGATGCCAAAGGAAAGCAGGAGAATTTCAGTTATCACTGTACTCTATTTAATACAGCAAGGCTTCATGAAGCCTCCAGCTTTCCAAAAAGTACTTCATCACCCACTGCCACCTCAAAATTGAGATTTAAAATT